TGGGAAGAAGCAGTATAGGGGCCTCATATCTGGATGAGCTGAACCAGTTCTGCTCAAGGCTCTATTTTCAGTCCTACTGAATCTGGAGAAAAGAGTGACACTTACAGGGTAGAGGTTTGTGTCTCACTTCCCTATCTTCCTGTGTCACTGTGGGAAGTTCATTATCACCTTCACCATATGCTGAAGAACAGTAATAGACAGCCTCATCGTCAGTCTGAGTTCTGCTGATGGTCAGAGTGGCTGTTTTCCCTGAGCTGGACCCAGAAAATCTCTCCGGGATCCCTGAGGGTCGCTTATTATCATCATATATTACCAGCACAGGGCTCTGTCCTGGGTGCTGCTGCTGGAACCAGTCTGCATAATATTYTGACAATTCATCTCCAGAGCAGGTGATTGTGGCTGTCTGTCCTGGGGCTACTGAGACTGAGACTGGCTGAGTCAGCTCATAGGAGGCCACAGAACCTGCAAGAGAAGGGAGAGATGAAGGACCCCTACCCAGGGTAGCCAATAAATCTATGTCCAAATGAGCTTAGATTTGGGGGGAAAGTCCAGCTCATGATCCTGTGGTACCCCCACAGGTAGAGTCTGAGACAGGGGAGAAAAGATCACCTGTGTAGAGCAAGAGGAGTTGGAAGAGTAGAGGTGTGCAGTTCATGGTGGAAAGCCAAAACTCTTTGTGCTGATATGCACAGCACAGCTGGGTTCTCCAGGACCTCTCTTATTTCTTTCAAGATGTTTGGGTAAATGCATGTGTGATGATTATGCAAATTATTCATTCTCTGTAATGACCAATTATGGGAAGTCACTGAAATCAGCTGTGGGTACAGAAGAAGAGACTGTGAAGTTGGAGGTTGAGCATTCACCTTTCTCCAAGATGCTTTGGGCAAAAAATCAGCCTTGATTTCTATGACCTCTGATTAATGTCATTTTCCAGGAATTGACCCCTTGACCAATGTTCCAATTTTTCTGATCTGTTTTTTCTCTGGCTCTATTTCAGCAGAACTGTGAATATTTCAGGAGCCTGGTCATGGGCTGAGCTGGGCCC